GACAGTTCTGATAACCAGGATGGGAAAATTTCAGAAATATCAGTGTTTCAACTGAAAAGATCAACTGTCTAGATAGTTTGAGTTCTTACTCACCAGTTGACAGTCCAAAGAAGGAAAGATCTTTAATTTTGTACCATTTTCTTTGATCTCATTCATTAGTTCAGTAAGAATGTAAGTCTGTGCCAAGTTCTAAAATAAAACAAAAGTCATCTCTTGATTTGGTAACGTCTCTGAATAAAATATAAAAGTTTCACATTTCAGTTAGCTTCGCAGTCTACAGTTAGCAGCCCAATGCCTAACCACTACACCTCAGGGTCACATTTCATTTAGCAAAGCAACAGTGTATTTAAGAAAATATTTAAAATGTTAGTCAAATGCATATTGTGTGTGGTATATGTCACTATTCACGATAAAACATAGACAAAACCGATCAGAAGTACTATGGGAAAAGAAGAAGGATACATATACAGATGGATGGCTAAGATGGGCCAAAACAAATGAAAAAAAACACAGATAAACTTCTAAAGGAACATGTAACGTTCACTTGATAGTCCACAGATAAGCCAATAAGCATGCAAACATAAGACAAAAGTGGTAGTCCTCTTGAAGATGCGTGAATCTTTCAGTTTAAGTCAGTGGTTCTCAGCCTAGAACTTTACATCAGAATCATCTGTGGCTGCTAACAAAACCCAAACCAAAATCATGGCTGAACGAATGACATTGTCAATGCTTAGTCGTTCTGCATTTGGCTGATAAGTGCAAGGTAAGCAGTTCTAAACCACCAACCAGCTTCACAAGGGAAGGATGAGGCTTTCTACTCCTGAGAAGGTTTTCAGGCTCAGAGACTCACAGGGGCAGTTCTACCCTGCCCTATATGGTCGCTGTAAGTCAACAGTGATGGTAGTGGAAGACCCAGGGGGTGGTGGTGGAGGGGAGTGATTGATACTGTTTTGCAACATAAAATGACAGTGTTGTCTCTACAGTGAACCAGAGACATATATAACCACAGATGCATGAATGGATATTGGGCTTGCACTAACTCAAGCTCCAATCTAAGAACAATTAGTTCGTATGATATGGTCCTGCTTGATGCTCAACCTCATGAAAAGATCACTGAAAATGTGGGTGCTATAGAAAAGTGTGGTGAAGAAACTAGATCGTGCCCAGATAGCAGATGTAATAGCATTTGGGGTCTTAAAGGCTTGTTTTCAAACAAGCAGCCAGCTAAATGAGGCATCAACTAAGTCCACATGGAAGAAGAACATGAGCCTGTGTGTGATCCAAGGATTGTAAACAATATAATCCAAATCTAAAGCAGGGAATAGCATCAGAGCTTAAACTGTGAACACCTGGTTTGCAGAAGGTTATGGATGACAGAAGTCCAAAATCCATTTGTAGGTCTACACATGGACTTAACCTCTAGTGAATACCCTCTGATCATAGTTTAAGGATGTGAATACGCCTGTTACCAGACAGAGAGAATTGTAAAGTTGATGGCAGATATAATTAGGTCAAAATGTAACATCTTATCATTTGATCTCCCTTTAGACCCATTTTAAAGTTGTTTCAGTTAAAAAAAAAAGTGAAGGTGAAATACACACGGTTTAAACCCCTAGAGAATCCTCTCTGACCCTGGACCAGGGATGTGAATAGCCTTGCTAAATGCAGAATGCACCGGAAACGGAATTACTGCAGATGCAGTTAGGTTAAAATTCAGTACTCTATCATTTGATCTTCTTTATGATCCATTTCAATTTGTTCTAGTTTTTAATATTTTGTTTTGTTTTCAATTGAGGTTTTTATCTGTTCTGCTTTGTTATTCTTACTAGTTTTGGTTGTTTTTAATGTTTTTCAGTATGTATGAATTCCAGGAAAAGTAAATCCATAGAGACAGTAATGGAATTAATGGTCCCTTAGGGATAAGGCAGGGGAGGTTGTGGGGAAGTGGGGAGCTAATAACGATGAGCAAAAGGTTCTAAAACTGATTGTGGTGAGGGCTGTACAACTTCTCTTGAGGCAACTGAACTACTGAATTGTATATGTGAATTATGTGCTAATAAAACTGTTGGGAGGGAAAAAAAAATCAAAACCAAAGATCTAACCCTAGAGTTTCCAAACCTGAAAAGTACAGACATAGAAAGCAGCTATCTTTGGCTTTTAATTTCCACATATCATCATTATGAACTCCAAAAGCTCAACTCCAAAGGTTTCTCTTGATCAACCAGCAAGAGCCTAGGAAAGCTCAGTGGACTGACCGCCATCGGGAGAGAGGGAGAGAGGAGGCAGCACCTACTCCCCTCAGCAAGAAAACTACGAAGTTACTGTTCTCACAAAATGATCCAGTTCCTATTGTGTTCACAGCAATATACTAGATGATATACACAGTAAGAATTTAAGAACCAGATAATGACATTACTACCAGTATAAACAGTCTGTGAGACTCCAAAAAGTGAAAGCACCTATCTGTTGAGACACCTTTCACCAAAACTCATTTTCCACTAAGTGTCCTGTGTTAGAGGGACTCAGAGCTACCAAATAAACTATAAATGAGTTAAGATATATTTTTAAATTTTACAGAACTTTCTGAGGGTGACTCTTACCTGCATGACTGCATTAAAAAAGCAAGTATTTCCTAAATTTGTAATTCCTTTCACAGCGGTTACACTGCTGCTTTTTCTTCCCTTCCTCATATCACCTGTTTCACATTTTTCTTCACAAAGTTTTATTATCCTAGAAAATGGACCTGTGAGTTAGAGAAAACATAGCTGGTATGAGATATAAAATTAAATATACATCACTTGGCATAATTGAAATAAGTTTCCCCTTTAATCAGTGTTCTTAAAAGACAAACATACAGGGGAGAGGGATGGAGCTAGGTGCTTGGTAAAAAAAAGAAGACAAATATACGAACACAAATAAACATATCCGTTTTCTATCTTATTGCTAAAGCAATTAATTTAACTTTATTTTAATATAACAATCCACACCTTACAGCACACACAAAATGAAGTCTAGATGAATTTAAAAATTACATGCAAATGAACAAAGTCATAAAACAAGTAGAAAAGACCCAAATCTTGGTTTCTAAGTACCATTCCCCAATAAAATGGAGGCTCTGAAGAAAAGACTTCCTTTAAGTCTGAAGTGATGAAGACATGACAGAAGCCTTAACATTTGTGTTGTAACAGAGCATAAAGAAACGCTCACAAAGTGACGCGAGTAGATCAAGATGCACGAGAGCCTCTCAGGGGCACAGGCTCCCACAGGCCTGACCTGGGGCAATGTGGCCATCAAAATAAGGAGAGTAGCAGTGTATCACTCACTGAAGCAAATGAAAATCTGAACTGATAATAAACGAGCAAGAGAGAGAAACACAAATGGAAAGACATTTGATAAAATAACTCACTTGTGTTCTCCAAAAATACCAATGGCATGAAAAACAGAAAAAGGATGAGGGGCTATTCTAGATTACAGAGACAAGAGCAATCACAGGTGCAAAAGGTTAATGTACTCAGCTATTAGCTGAAAGATTGGAGGTGTGCGTACAGCAGAGATACCTAGAACCTAGGAAGAAAGGCCTGGTAACCTACTCCCACAAAACCCACCATTGAAAGCCCCATACAGTACAGTTTTACTACGATACACATGGGATATCCATGAGACAGAATTGAACTGCAGCTATGAAGGAGATATCACAATTAAATGAGATTAATTTCAATACATACTGCCTTGCTTTGCTAATTAATTTCAAGATGTTTGGCTGTCTCATCTCTCCGATTAGAATTATGATGTCAGATAAGGTACTTCTACAGGTGTGGGATGCTAGGAAGAATAATAGACATCATAAAAGTTTAATATTAAAAACAAAACAAACAACTATGAGATTAAATAGCAGGTTTTAATAGAATCTTAGCCCTCTGCATTAAGAGAACAGCATTAGAGCAGTTGACCCAGGGGATGGGGGACTG